CGTTTTTTAAGTTTGCGTATATATATATATATATTAATAACCTCTGTTTTACATTTTTCTCACTGACTTTCTTAGTTTTATAAGAGTGGCGATTACGTTAATCGTCGGATTTACGCCCCGAGAGACGTAGGCACTCTCGTTAACAGTTACATTGCATTCATTCGTTACATAGCAATTAACATTTTATTATTTCGCATATATTCTATTGTTGTACGTGACTTGTTAATTATAAAGTCCTGTATTATTTAAAGCTCCCCGATGACCCAGTATATATATTTTTTAAATGTTGTAATTCAGTAAATCTACTATAGTCTGGCAACACTAAACCGTTATGACAAAGATTATTTAATGAGGTGCATCCGTTGATTAATATTTATGACTATAATGGAAACAAAAGAAAATGTATTGCTTGTTAAGAAAACAAAAGACGTGGTTTTAGTATTCAAAAGGTGTCTGGAATATAGATCATGTAAAATAATTTACAAAGTGCATTTTTATACAAATTCAGCGCGTATATATTTTTCATTCGTGGCTTCATTTCTCACAATATTATACAGATAATATTAATACAGATAATATCTCATTTTACGAGAAATTTGGCCCGTCGCACATCTGGATTTTTTTTTTACATTTTGAAAATAATCAAAGCCTACATTACTCAGGGAAAGATCTTTTGAAAACCCAGTAGTTTTTGAGTTAATTCGTCTTTCTTATTTATAATATTATAATATAGTAATAGAGTAGCGGTGGCCTAGTGGCTTCAGCGTGCGGCTTTCATCCCTGAGGTCGTAAGTTCGATCACCGTCTGTGCACCAATGGACTTCCTGTCTATTTAACATTCGCTCGATTGGTGGAAACAGTGAGGAACATCGTGAGGAAACCGGCTTGCCTTAGACTCAAAAAGTCGACGGCGTGTGTTAGGCACTATTAGATTGACTAATGATTATGAAACAAGTTCAGAAATATGAGGCTCAGACCTAAAAAATGTTGTAGCGCCACTTATATTTATAATATATTAATATAAGTAGCTTAGACTTGCATTAGATGTGGCTTAGTGATTATAGTACAAGGAGGTATTTTTTTGTGATAGACGCTAAAGAGCTTTAGCTGTAGCTGTAGCTATATACATATATATTTATTTATTTATTTATTTATTAAAAGCTCAATGGCCAAACTTAGACTAAAAACAATTAAGATTTACAAAATTTACAGTACAGGGTAGCATTACCCTCTTATCCCCTCCAGGTACACTCTGAAACCACAGTATACCACCCCCATAAGCTTCCCAAACAGGTCGCTCTCCGGTGAAGAGTCGAGAAACCCATTAAGCAGTGAGACTTGAGAGTAACCGGGGAATGGGTGCTTGTTGTCGCTGGACAGTGCGAGCCGAACGCACAGCGAAAAGGTTATGTTTCCGGCAGCGGCAATATTTGTCCGGAACGTATAGCCTCATGATCTCTCCCAGCAAGTATGCGCTTTCCGTTTCATTCTTAATTACACTCAAACCAAACCTGACCACCGAAAAATCCCTACGAAGCTCTAATGAATTATACCCTAACACCCCCATCAAGAACTTAGTAGGGTAGAGGTAAGGAAAGAAATTGTATCTTCTTTTATACAGATTTCTCAGGAACTTCTTTTGCACTCGTTCAATCATATCCCCATAATACCTTTCATAGGGGGACCATATGACGCAGCTGGTTTCGAGAAATGGCCTTACTAATGATGAATATAGCACCCTATATATATATTTATATATTTTTATGCATATATACATAAAAATATTACTTAGGTATCAGTTTAAAGAAATTAAATTATTATATCTAATACATTTTGAATGAAATCACTGAGTTAATTAAGATTAAAAACAAGCACCTCAACACGATGATAAACGATAAACAAAAGACTTCTTTGATTTATGGTAACATCAAAGTACGAAAACTCAGTCGAACAAAGCAGGATGCTGTGGTCGTAAAAAGTAGATTAAATATTTTCAGTGGTTCCACTTAACGGCGACCACTTTGAGAAGAGCTCTACTACAAATCTTACGATATAAGAAAGATAGTGTTGCGTAATGCGTCCTCCGAATAAAACCCTCTGTAGCAGCCATTTTGTTCTTTCTATGCGCAATTATAACTGTTGTACGGCGTAATAGGCCAAATCACGAAGTCTGTCAAGAAATACACGCACTTAGCTGCCGTATAGGATTGAAGACCCACATATCTGCTATTAAGGATTATGATTTAAAAGTATAAGAACAGTAAAATACGCCTATTATGCTAAGCAATCACATACAATTTGGTCCGAAAAATGTTTTGATTGCAAGTCGTAAAACACACTGTTGTGTCCATATCTGGTTAAGTATTACTTGTATTTATTTATAAATATGTTGGATAACGTTTAAGCATAAGTTATAGATATATATAGGAGCAGTGTTGGCCCAGTGGCTTCAGCGTGCGATTCTCATCCCTGAGGTCATAGGTTCGATCCCGGCTATGCACTAATGGACTTTCTTTCTATATGCGCATTTAACATTCGCTCGAACGGAGAAGGAAAACATCATGAGGAAACTGACATGTCTAAGACCCAAAACGTCGACGGCGAGTGTCAGGCACAGGAGGCTGATCACCTTCTTGCCTATTAGATTGAAAAATGATCATGAAACAGATTCAGAAATCTGAGGCCCAGACCTAAAAGAGGTTGTAGCGCCACTGATTTTTTTATATAGATATATAGAGATATTTAAACCTAATGGCTTATATGTAACGTTTATCTTCTAATATAATGATTGACCGTAAGTGCCGGTATTCTAGGTTCTAGTTTCGTACCCAAAGAACGTTTCCATTTAAGAAATAAAACATTAAGCAATACAAATGGAAATATCAAGTTTCAATATCCAGTACTCTCATGTGTTTACTTTGATTTGTATTTTTAAAAGTTTAATTTAGTACTAAGAATTTCTAGTCCAGTAAAGGTCACCAAAACTGGTCTTCCAGTGTACAGATGAGTGTTTTGTTTTAAGATTTACAGCTTCCTGACAGACACCATCACCTGATCTTAAAACGTTGTTCAGGGTACTTGTTAATTAACAGGATAATTAGTTCCTATATTAAACGTGCGCGAATTATAATATACTAGAATTGAGTGCGTTTATTTTTTCATTTATTTAAGCTGTTTTTTCTGCTACTCAAACAATGCCTTGAAGGAAATGACAGAAGCATTTATCTTATTATAAGAATTCTTATTGTATCAAACCCTGTGTTACATTAATTATTTCAATTGAATAATTATTTGTTTCAAATTTTGGTTACTCTAGATGTAAAACATCGTTTAAAAAAAGATTATATATTCGGATATATAACCTAGAACATAGCTAAACATATGGATAACACAAGCTGCGGTTTAAATTCAGTTGTAATATTGTAAAACGTGGAGTAGCTGGCGCTCGCGATAGATGGCGCTGCAGTAATGAAAGATAGAATTATATTATGTACCAAATTGTTATATAATTTGGCCTAACGTGGCTTTTACTTTGAGTTATTTATTAAACAGTATTTCCAGTCATTTAATTTCAAATATGGAATTCCATATAAATTTAATTGTTTATAAAAATCCTTGTAGACGACATAAGCGCACTCTTGATCGATTTGAATCGAATGTGTAATGTAGTTCCGGTGCTTAACAAATTTTTGCATTCCAATCGCTCATCTGATAATTGCGCGGTACTTTTTATGTTTAGCCGACGAGCGAACTAAAAATGGCTTTTTATATTTTCCGAAAGCCTTTATGAAGTCCTCATGAATGCGGCATTGTATGTACAATATTAAAAACTCTGCCAGTGCTAGTAATGTTCGGTATAATTTCGCGTGTGTATTGTAGATGTTTTAGGAGGGAAAATTGTAACGTAACCCTTATAACAATTTATGGTGAATTATTTTTTAAATTGAACGAATAGATTATTCCAGAAATATAATTTTAACACCCAGCTTCGTGAACCAATATGTTTCTAGGTAAAACTCAAATCCATTTAAGGTCAGAATATATACATTAGAATCACACAAACCCATAACTTAAAGGGTTATTTTTAAGCTCCCTGATGACGTCATTACATATTTTGGCCGGACCCCGGTGATAAGGTTTATCTATGAATGCGTCACAGGTAGACAAAAGGAAACAGCAGGAAACATGTCGCCTGACCTACTCCAATGGTAAATATTGTACGGATAAAGATAAGCACTAATCTATTTTCGTGTCGTAAGGTGTGGGAATGCTGATAAGGCTAAAACGAAGGCCAGATCACCAAATTAGCAATGTAACTAGCGTGTAAAAGATAACTTTTTTGAAATTAAAATCGTTAAAGAACTTACTACCTTATTATTATACGAGTAGTTATAATACCAACTGAGATGAAATTACCTAAAGAAATTTTTAATATAATTCCACCATCATACCCTATAATTAACTTTATAAAGTTTTATGTCTGTTATTTATGTTGTATAAGATGTAGAGCTCGTAATTAAATACGGGTTGCACAATTTTCATTCATGTCAGCAACGATATTACGCATAATAATATTATGCGATAGAATTTTTATGATGAACGCAAAACAAACAAAGCAAGAACTACCATGTTTATAAAAGCGCGCTCCTGTTCATGCCAATCTCGCGGTGAGCAACTTGTTGCCGTTGTGAACTTTTGTTAGGAGCGAGCGAGAAACATCGCACCTCTCTGTCGGGGGAGGAGCGTCAGTGCGGGGAGCATGCTGCCAGCCGGTCGGTCAAGTTGCTGAATGCACGCCGTCACTCAGTCGGCCCCTAGACCTCCGCGAGAGTGGTGCTGTCGCGTTCCGTATCGCACCCGAGCCGTTATGAGTCGTACTACGAAACAAGTTTGACGTGAACTTTGTAAAGTTTTCCGCACGCAGCTGGATATAACTTAGAAATGTGCCGGTATCAAAAAGTGACTTTATAAATTGTGACAGTTTAAGTGAGGATACAAACATGTTATCCCTCGGATTGTTAACTTTGTGCTATGCGGGATGGTGGTGCGTGCATTCGAGTGTGAGTGCAGCGTCTTTGACGAGCCGAGTTTCGGAGGCTCCCCAGGAGTGCGAGTGGCAGCGAGTGTCGGGCGGCGCGGGTGAGCCCACACGGGTACAACTTGCGTGCTCCTTGCGCACCGCCGCAGGCGCCACGGACTTGTTAGCTGGACTTAGTACTTCACAAGCACAACGCATCACTGCGTTAGATCTCCACTGTACTGATGTTCTCCTCTTTGAAAGCTCGCTTGATGTCGGCCGAAGGAAAGAGGAAGGAACCGAACTTCTTTCCCGATTCCACAACTTAAGAGAAATGAGAATAGAGTCGTGTAAAATAAGATATGTTCCCTCCGCTGTTTTATCACCGCTTAGTGGGCTACGAAGCTTGACTATTCGTACACATAATACGGATTGGTCAGCTATGTCTATGGAGTTTCATCGTGATTCCTTCAGAGGATTAACAGATTTAAGATATTTAGACCTGGGAGATAACAACATTTGGATTTTACCGTCTGAAATATTCTGTCCGCTGTATAATTTGAAAGAGCTGAATATTACGCAAAACCGTTTACAAGACATATCAAATTTGGGTTTTTCAGACTGGGGCAACGGCCCGACAGCTCCTGGAAAATCTTGCAACACTGTCTTGGAAACTCTGGACATGTCATACAATGAAATTAGTGCTTTACCAGATAATGGTTTATCAAGTTTACGCGCGCTTCAAAAGTTACTTTTACAAAACAATAGAATATCTTCTGTAGCGGACCGCGCCTTTGTCGGATTAAGTGATTTGCAAATTCTTAATCTGTCATCAAACGCCTTGACTGGCTTGCCTCCTGAAATGTTTCAGTCGTCGAGAGATATTAAACAAATATACTTGAATAACAACTCTTTAAGTGTTCTCGCTCCTGGATTGTTGGAAGGATTAGATCAGTTACAAATATTAGACATGTCATTCAATGAACTGACAAGTGAGTGGGTCAACAGAGACACGTTTTCCGGCTTAGTTCGATTGATTGTTTTAAACTTGTCCCATAACAGAATAACAAAAATCGACGCCCTGTTATTTCAAGACCTAAATAACCTGCAATTTTTGAGTTTGGAGTTTAATAATATTGCGCGAATAGCAGACGGTGCATTTTCTAATTTGAAAAATCTACATTCTCTTTCATTAGCGCACAATAATATCATTGAGGTAGACATAAATCATTTTTCAAACTTATATGTTTTGAATCAATTGTTTCTTGATGGGAACAGAATCACAAAAGTTGAGATGCGGTCCTTTGAGAATATAACTAAGCTCCATGACTTAGGGTTGAGTGGCAACCAGTTATCAGAAGTACCGGAAGCCATAAAAACGCTTAGATTTTTAACTTCTTTGGACTTGGGCATGAACAGAATAACTAAAGTGTCAACAACACACTTTGAAGGATTGGATGATTTATATGGATTACGTCTTGTGGGCAATAAAATTGAAAAAATATCGAAAGACACATTTGTTGCTTTGCCTTCTCTTCAGATTTTAAATTTGGCCTCGAACAACATTGATCAAATTGATGATGGCGCTTTCGCTTCGAACTTACAGTTAAAAGCTATTGGACTCGATGGCAATAAATTAGTAGACTTAAAGGGTATATTCACGAACACGCAACCTCTTGTTTGGTTAAACGTGTCTAACAATGAATTACTTTGGTTTGATTATAGCCACATACCTACTAACCTTGAATGGTTAGACATGCATGAAAATAAAATAGAAAGACTTGAAGATACCTATGGGGTAAAAGAGACATGTAATGTAAAAATGTTAGACGTTAGTTTTAACAAATTAAGGAATATAGACGAGTTCTCATTTCCGAGTAGTATTGAAACTGCTGCTATCAATAACAACCACATAGAGAAAATAAACCCCGGAACTTTTCTCCAAAAATACAATCTTAATAAAGTCATGCTCTATTCAAATAAAATAACAACGTTAGATATCGGTGCGTTTGCGATATCGCCAGTTCCCGAAGATAAGGATTTGCCTGAATTTTATATCAGTGAGAATCCAATTCAATGCGATTGTACAATGGAGTGGTTACAGAGAATTAACCAATTAAGTGACGCTAGGCAACGCCCCAGAGTAATGGATTTAGAAAGTGTAAGATGCTCTTTAACTCATTCTCGGAGCGAATTTGATATGCTTTTACTAGAAGTCAAATCGTCGGAATTTTTATGCGAGTACGAATCTCACTGTTTTACTCTTTGCCATTGTTGTGACTTCGATGCCTGTGATTGTAAGATGACTTGTCCAGATAAATGCACGTGTTATCACGATCTCACCTGGAACTCCAACGTAGTAGATTGTTCGAGTGCCGGCTATGATCACGTGCCAGAACAAATACCAATGGACGCAACCGAAATATACTTGGACGGAAACGAGCTTAAAGACTTAGGTAATCACGTATTCATTGGGAAAAAGAAATTAGAAGTTCTTTACTTAAACAATAGCAACGTTAATACTATTCAGAATAAAACATTTAACGGGATTGAATCGCTGAGAATTCTTCATTTAGAAAATAATAACTTAGAAGTGCTACGAAATACTCAATTTACAAGGCTTCAAAATCTCAACGAACTATACCTGAGCAGTAACAAAATCAAAGTAATAGAGAATGACACCTTTAATTATTTGCCTTCTCTTGAGTTCTTGGACCTTGACAATAACGGGTATGTTGATTACATGCCATGGCGAGTGATTACAGACAACAATCCGCGCACGCGTGTCTCTGTAGATGGTAACAATTGGGTATGTGATTGTAAAGATGTATCTCAGTTGAATCAATGGCTTATAAAAAAGTCAAAGGATACCGAAAACATGATGTGCTATTTTGCCCACGGCCAGCCCATGAATAAAACTATAGCTGCCGTAGCTAAAGAATGTAAAACCGAGGCTACCACCGTAGAAACGGGAACGGAAAACCTAAAACGGCTATTCATTGAATCAAATGACGGCGTTGAAAATTATATACCATATATTGCAGCGGTATTGATCATTACTATTGTACTTTTACTAATGTGCGCCCTATTGTTCATGTTTAGGGAAGACTTTAAGTTATGGATGCACTCGAGATACGGAGTTCGAGTATTTAGTTCAACTCCGAGGGACATGAACGACAACAAGAATAAACGTTTCGATGCTTTCTTTGTGTATAATCAACGTGACGAAGACTTCGTGACTCGTGCAGTGAGCTCCGAGCTCGAGAATTCGGGACACACGTTGTGTTTACAACATAGGGACTTGCAGTTGATCGAGCGACGATCCGGTGATAGTTTAGTTAGTGCTGCGGAAAGTTCTAAAAGACTAATAATTGTGTTGTCCATAAACTTTTTACAACAAGAGTGGTACTCGCTTGACGCTAAAGCGTCGGTGCAGAGTGCAATAAACTCAGTGAATATTAGGCATAGACGACAAAAAATCATATTTCTTGTGACGACAGATTTAAGTGCCATAAATATAGACCCAGACCTAAAAGTGTTGCTAAAAACGTGTACAGTGATCGTGTGGGGTGAAAAGAACTGTTGGGAAAAGCTAAATTTTCGGTTACCTGACGTGGATGTGACTTTGCCTAATCGGACGCTTCATAACGCGAATAACAGTAAATGTGCAAATAGGGAAGGCTTCAATAGGCATGGAAATTTAAGGTATACGGCGTCTCCCACTTCTCATGACCCATGGTATAAGTATGGGATGGCGCCGCCTATATTGATGATGTCAAGTCCTATGCACTCTACCAGTGCGAGCGCTGAAGTGTCAGCTCGGAGCACTGAAGACGAGACTTGCTCAGTAGCCAGTAGCGAAGGTCGCCCGGACGACCGAATGCCGCATCATCATAGTTATGTCTCAATAGATAACCATCAGTGCGAAGAGCGACCCTTGAGGCCCGCTCAACAAATACCTATGTCAAACACACGCCCTGGTAATATGAGAAAGACTTATTTTGTATAGTTAGTCCTTTAATCTGATTGTGTATATATTCTCTAACATAATTAACAAATTCAATCATTGTAGTATTAAATGTAAAAAAATGGTGCTGAAAGCTACATTGTGTCACAGCATTTATCGAATTTGTATTATATACAAGTACCTAAAGGTCTTATTATATAAGCATCGATGCATTTATTTATCACTACGATTACTGTACCTGCATTGTAATGTCAACGAATATTGTACCCTATTTGAGTTATAGCTGTAAAGAAAACATTCCTTACCTTCCCTTTAATGTTATTAATTAGTTCCTGGTAGTATAAACTATAAATGTTCCCGTATATAATTTTGTGATGATTTAGGTACTTACGCTTAAATTATAATGTATAGTTATCAGTGAGAACTTGTATAAAACATAATGTAAATAGATAAAGTTTTTATGATATATCTTTCGAAGAACTGAATTGTACCCTAGTCAATTGTAAATAGCCATCGTTAGGTATAAGTATAATTTGTGATGTAATTTTAGCTAGAATTATATAAAACGTATTTATTACGCTTCCAAACGCAGAGTATGAATAAATTAATATTTTTGTCTATTTGCTATTTTTATTTCCTCTTACAATTGCCAATAATTGAATGCTTCATGATTAGGCTTTATTCAGTCTTTTTTTATCCCATCATAAATCATTTTAATGAGCAGCGACTGGGTTAAAAAACTGTAGTCATAATCGATTTACTGAATCGCTTTATTTGCCTGTCCATAGTCGAGTGTATAAATATTTGTTTTATCTAAATTGATCGTTGGATAAGATCGCGGCAGGGCCTAAAGTTTTAATTTTGAGAGCGGGCACGACAGTGTTCGGTGCTCACGCGCCGCACCGGTTGCCCGCTGAGAAACTATAAATCATCGTCTGACCGACGAATAAACACAACTTTAATTGACTATAGATTGCACAGAAATGTCTCTTCTTGTTTGAGAGGTGAAAGGGTATTTTTACATAACAATAAATTGCTTTTGTAACTGTTTGATTTTGAAATGCTCAGTCAATCAATATTTTGTAATTGATTAGATTCTTAGATTTTACACATCTTATTAATAATAATTGTTTCAGGTAGACCTATGCTTACGTTCAATATTAGAATAGATCATATTCTCAAGTACAGAATTTTCTATGAATAAAACAATTGAGCTTTTTAAAACCTCCGACTCGTAGCAATTGCCTAGGACTGATATTTAAGATATTGAGGACTTTTTGAGGAACTCTTTTATCATCTACAGAAATAATTGACACCTAAAGTTATCAGTTGAATCTAATTCAGAGCAAATATTTTTATCATCTATTATCTGTGTTTTAAATTAAAACAAAAGTTCACTTAGTAATGCCGAGCGATTCCCTAAATATTTTAATAGAAAATTAAAACAAATTCAAAAAGTTCGATCCTTGTGACAGTGTACCTTTAATGCTAGCAGCATTTCCTTGCTGTATTGCGATACTTATTCGAGGTAGGAAACCACCAGCTCTGCGGTCACCGGTGGTATCTACCAGGCGCCAACATAAATCTTAAATCAGGGCCCATGTGTACTTGAACCCCACAACCGAGGACCAAGCGTCTCCATTTCAAAGGAACAAAATCAAAGTTGGAGGAAAGACTTAAAATTGAGCCGTTTATTACCTATTTATCAAAGTTGAAAATAAATATAATTTACAAACAAAAATAGTATAACTGATTAGAATAATGGTAAAATAATGTCACCATATAAAAATTAATAGCTAGAAAAAATCGAAGCGACGACAGCGAATATCTTAATTATTGACTGTAACATGATACGGGCGGACTCGATGTCGTGTATTTTCTTTCAAATCGTGTCTATCGATTCCAGCCATGTTTTGAACTGGGGGTCATCTATTTGTGCCGACATTACCAACCCATACACTCATCACCTTTTTTCTTGCAATACGATACTCGGACGCCATACGAAACCAGTTTTAAATGGGTTTGGGACATCGAGAGCTTCGGTGACAATTGATTATGTGCCGAAGACAAAAAGTGGAATGTCTCGATTAGTTACGCGGGCGAAGACGCGTAGGATGAACAATAGCTCCTTACTTTATGATTCTATAAACGTTTATGTCCCTATAAACGGTCTCTTAGCGATTGGTCAAACTTTGATTGTATCGATCATTGACAGGTTTATTATTGAGCCATTGTGTAATTTGCAAGTATCAAATAATACGTTAAAGTCACCGGGTCAAGTTCTTAATGAATATTGCATATTATTCTATTGGTATTTATTCTACACAGCGGGTAATGTTTCGTAAATGTTTATCGATCCCTATATAAAGACAGATCAGTTTTGGCCTAGTGGTTTCAGTTGGCGACTCTTATCTCTTAGCTCCGATCCATGGCTGTGCACTAATGGACTTTTTGTCTATGTGCGTATTTATACTGAGAAAATCGGCTTCTTACTATGGGTCTACACCCAAAAAGTACACGGCGTGTGACAAGCACAGGATGCTGAACATTGCCTATTAGATTGACAAATTATCATGAAACAGATACAGCACTCTGAGGCCCAGACCTAAAAAGATTGTAGCGTCACTCATTTATCTGTCCTATAGGTATAAAGTCAGAAGGAGTATCACAGAGTCCTTGGAGTGACGTGACGTCGTCGTCCTTCTTTTAGCTACTCCCTTACATATCAAGATAAGTTCTGTATGAACAACATGATTCTATTTTATCAAATTTTTATCTTTATCTACTAATTTGACCGCACGGCCTAGTAGGTGACGCATAAATATTACCAGTTCGATTCCACGTATAACATTAATTGTTTCAGGCCACGTATTAAACAAGTGATCTTGTCTTCCCCATTACGGGATTACGGGGCTTCAATTTACGTAATTGGCCGATAACTAATTCTTAAGTTTGTTATAGCCTACAGCGATTGGCATTAGAGAAAGAAAAGTGCGTAGGACGTCGCGTCGGGCCCATAAAAACTCCGTTATAACTTTATAAACAAATAATATATTAGATACTTGTCATAACTTGGAATGTTCATAAAACATGCACAGTTTTAAGTGAGACATCCCTGAGTGGGCTATGTAGGTCGGTAAGCTGACAACAGGTGAATAAATATACTTATTAACAGTTCCAAGTAGATCTCAAGTGGCTTGGAGTAAAGTACAATAAGAAAAATGAAAATAAAAAATGAAACAGTTTACTTGAGGTATACTTTTGTTAGGCTTTTCATATAACAAATCAACACAAACTAACTTATATTTGCCATTAACAGACTTTTGTGTTTTGTTTTGTATGAAATAGATTTAGTAAAATAATATTAATTTATTTTATGACTAATATTTTATAAGACCATTTTGTGATTTAGAACAAGATACTCAGTCGCGCTTTATTCTATATATTATTAATGTCTGTGACAAGAGATTCACAACAATAATTTCGCGTTGACTGTTTGTGATTTGGTGAACTGATTTGGTGTAATGTTTAATCTAGACCAGATTATGAGATAAGCGGTATGACCAGAATATTAATAATGGCGTATGTATTTTATATAACACATATTAGCTTGTAAAAATTAACAATTAACATAATCAGAAGCCTAATCATAAAGTTATAATGACCATATGCTCCTAATCTTTATGGATTCCAGTAAATTCGTTTACGACAAAAATACGACGTAATTAAGTGATTAGTGTTTTGAAAAGTTTTATAACAAGCCCATCATTGCTAATGAATTGTTTACTTGTTAGTCGGAATAGGTATAAAAATATTAACATCAATAATTATATTTTTTCAATATATTGAAGAAGATTGTATAAATATATACAAAGAAGATTTATCAACTTTGTATCAATATGTGCGCACATTATTAGCATTTAGAAAATTCGATTCTGAAGGAAAAAATAAAATTATAGATTTCAAAGACATACAAAACACAGAGTAAGCTAATATTTACAATAGATACAAAACTGTCATCTGCCATAGAGTAAGCTATTAGTGCTATAGATAGAAAATGTTTCTGTCATTAAATTTCCCCCTTATGCAGTAATGGACGAAGGAATTCAAATTATTACAGCGTCTCCAATATTATGCAACACTAATTAATATTATCTAAAAACATTGGAACAAAAACATAACGAGTTCTAGCACATGCGCCACATTCTTCAAGTTCAACACCCCTGCGAATTTAAATTTATAATATCTTAAAACTTCCACCAATGACTGTGAAATACTTCGAAAAAAACACTCGGGGCTCCACCCAACGGAAACAGCTGCGGGAAATAATTACGAACGAACATCGGTAGACAAATACATGTTGCTAAGATAGTTTGTGTAACTTTGTAAGTCAAATTAATTTTTAGGCTGTATTTGGAAGACTCTAAATTATAAGTACAGTCAAATTCTGTTATAACGACATCGAAGGGACTACTCATATTTGGTCGTAAAAACCGATAGTCGTAACAACCGATGACGTTGTTATTAAGTAGAGCATTCAGCCGGGCCTTTGTTTTTCGTGAATTTAACCGGTATGTTGTTCTAAACGATGTCGTCGTAAACGGTTTTGATGTTTTTCGGTTTGTAATTTAGCGAGAGTGTGCAGAAGTCGGTCTTACTACTAATATCATACATCAAGATTTATGTAGGTAACTTTTAACATTTGAACACATGAACGTCAAAAATAAAAAGTCTTTAAATTGATTTTTACTGCCAGTTCTCAAAACAAGGGCGTATAGACCAACGGGAAGAACTGGCAAGAAAATCACCGTTCCATTTAGATCGGTAGTTCCAAATATTTAAAATACAAGATGCTTTTATGGAGTTGCAATGATTACACCACCACATGACATGGAATGAATTATGAATAAAACATCTAATAAAAACAATGTTTAATTATTATTATTATTAATTAAGAAAATTGTAAATACTATTTATTTGAGTATTGGAATTAAAAATATTTCCTCATAATAAATTAGGTATTAGGGTGAAATATAAGCAGA